TTCATTCAAAATCAAAATAAAAGAATCTTCACTGGGTAGTTTTTGTTCTTTGAATATTGAAATCTCTTGAACGCATCTTTACATACTGCAATTACATTACCTCCCCCCCCCCCCCCAAAAAAAAAAAAAAATCAAAAAGTTGAAAAATCAACTTTAATCCACACAAAACAAGGACTATTACCTTCTCAAGAAAATTAAACCGCACTCTTAACACTCTTTGCTGTGCTGGAGCTGGGTTAACTGATAGCAAAGAACTTAAGAATTAGTAATTGTAATGGGGCTGTTCATACTAATTATTCCGTTATAAAAGGACTGATTTGTGTCAGAAGTTTAAAATATCTAGAATCAATATACTGGGCTTTAATGTCGCCTATTATTCGACTACGTGGACGTACTCCGAAATGAGTGTACTACAAAAACCAAGGTCCTGTACCTTGAAAACGTAAATCTTGATGTCCTTAGAACAATCACTGGATTAGTGAGAGCTACATCTTATAACCTATCGTAAATTGCATCAGGGTTCACTTCGATTAAAATGAGACGGTGGCCCCATAAACTAACCCTGTTTTACGAAATGGCGAATTTAGAAATTCTCGTTTGCAATTGTCGAAATCATTTATTTATTTGAACTTTTATTGTTTCAAAGAAAGAATTCATACTTTTTTTTTTATTTTGGGGAATATTTTATACTTCTTGCCAAAATATTTTTAGACAAAACAAATTTTCAAATTGTGGAACCTTTGAAAACTAGTAGATGTCATTTAAATTTGCCCCCCCCCCCCGGTCCCACCCCTCACATGCGCACACACCCACAAACACCCAACACCCCATCACAGACTTTAACATCAACACGAATAATATCTTTTTATGTTGTTGTATTATAAAATGTATATATTCCCCCCTACGGTCGTTTTTTTAAATTATGCATACCAATCTTACCCCCCTTTATCTCAAAAATGATGATTAGAACGCTCCAGTACACATGTAATGGTGAAAAGACAGACAACCAGCACGAATAATACCTTTTCATGTTGTTTATTACAAAATGTATATATTTCTTCCACGGTCGTTTATTTTTAAAAATATGCATACCAACCATACTCTTTTTCTCCTCAAAAATTGGTGATTAGAACGCTCCGTTACTCATGTCATTGTTTTTTTTGTCTTTATGTATTTTCATTATCTATTTGAACTCCCTTTTCAGCCCGAAACACGTAACTTATTATATTCTTGAAATATCACAAGTAAATGATATAGCCGCGTGTGCAACTATTATATCGTTTAGTTTCGAGTAATATTCATTTTGAGCTTTTTAAAGCATCCCCGTGAAAAAATATTATCTAAAATACTTAATCATTCAATATTCCATTATTTTGAAAATAAAAACCACACAAAAAAATGTTTAGGAAGCAAATTTCTGAGCGTTAATATCCCTGTGAATAATATTATCTAAAATACTAAATCATTCGAGTTACCGTATATTCCCAAAACCTGTAATAAATAAATTAATTGTTAATTATCATCCTAGTTTATACATGCAATGTGTTCATTTTATTGTATTTCATACTTGGTCATTTTTGAGAGTAAATAGCAGTTTTATCAATAATTTTCTCAAATTGCATCAATCACACACCAAACGTCAATTGTGATTAGCTTATCAAACGGGGGAAATTTGTTGCAATAAGAAATACCTATATTCGGACATTGATTTACTATAACATTAATACATCAGCAGTAACTATAAAAAACGTTAAAGGAGCTAAATCGCTAATATTTATGGGACCTAGAAATTGACAGAAATGGGTCGCAACGAATATAATAAGGTAATGTGAATGTATATAAACTGATTTACATTCAATCGTTTCTGTTTTTACCGTAATTTCTAATCAGTTATGTTCGGCGAAATGCGCCAAAGTCTCAATTGAATGACGATCTTTAGCGTCTGGTTATTCCAGTCTAAACCGATGGTATTTATTGCGCATGCTCTCCATATAAGAATATAGCATTGACATGACTTGTGGAATATGTCTAGCCTCGGTCTTCGAGCCCCTTGTGCCAAATGGCACTGAAACGCATTATGGTACACGATTCGTGTACCAATGGTAAAATGTTTCTTTTGTCTTGAATATTGGATATCAGAAGCTCATCTATTCCTTGTAAGATCACAAGACCAATGCTGATTTGAATTGACAAATAATTCGTGTTTTCAATGTCGAAGATTTTGATGATATTGAGTTAGAGACTTAGCTACTTTAACAATAATTTTTGTAGATATGGAAAAAAAGATATTGATCACATAGAAATACCAACATTTTTTTTTAAAGATATGGAAAAAAGATGTTGATCACATAGAAATACCAAATTTATATTCCATAAATGGTAGATGTAGACATTAAACATACATTATGCAAGGGCTATATTTCCCTATTGCAGGACAACCTTTAGGCCTGAAATGTTTTCTAAATTATTAATTAGACATTAATTAACTGATCCAAGGCCATAATTAACTGATCCAAGGCCATAATCAACTCTCGATTGCTTCGGATTTCTCAGATATTAAATAGATTAGAACGGTTCAGCCATATTTTAATGGCTGCAATTATTGCAACGTCTTGTCAAACCTTCAAAGGCTAATATCTTCTCTCGCAATAGAGTAATTGGAATGAAAATTTCAAATTATTCACTTTACATTATCTATTGTCGAACTATTATAGCAAGAATGGCTAGCTCTTTATCGAAATCTTACATACTGTATCTTTAAGTTAAAGATAAAAGTTACAAGTTTGTTTTTTATATGAAATTTTACAATTTTATAATAATCTACCGGAAATATACATAACAGGGATAAAGCATAACGTTTCCACGATATAATAACCATGAATGTAAGTGAATAAACAAAAAACAACGCTTCAAAATTCATACGTTCATGGAAAAATCTTACCAATCTGTGCATAGATACGATAAGCATTCATTAAAAATCACAGAGAATATAAAATATGTGACTGGACAAAAATATTACTATATGATATATATGTCCAGACTGAAAAATCTCTGTTCAGACTGATATAATAAAATATCTGCAGTTTATAGGGAACTCTGTAAGATGCACATAAGTATATACCACTGTTTTATTTCAAACAAGTATAAAAACATTTCATTGGAGAGATTAAACATTATTGACATAGATTTATAATGATGTTTAGTTATTTTCGAAAGATATTTACTCGTGAAGTATGGTTTGTTAAATAATCTCTTCAGTGTTTAATCAATTGTAACGGTGATTTTCCGAGTTGTTTGACTTGAACCGTGAATTTTAAATATGTTTTGTACTAGACAATGTAACGGCATATATATACATTTCGATAATTGCACTTTTATTAAAGTTCAAATGTTCGAGGTGCATATTCCATATGTCGTGAATGCGGCGAGGAAAATGATACATGCCTATTTTTTAAGTTTCATAATAAACCATCTGGAAACCTCAATTTAAAGCCGGAAATCAACTGTATCGCGTTATGGGGAATGGAAGTAATTGTATAAGGTATTAGACAGGGAAAGATTTGTCAATGAATGTCGGTGAAGGGGAAATTTCCAAATAATGTTTAACCCGTTTCATATAAGTTGTGAATAAAAGGGGTAGCTTATTCCAAACCATATAGCTCATATTGTCTTGATCATCCCTATGTGCGTAAATAATCATCTAATAATAAATATAGCCTCATGCAACAGAATGACCATATGTTCAGATAGGGAAAAATGCCTCTTCAGACTAAAATATCTGCAGTTTTGCAGAACGACGAAGTCCAGTTAAGTTTATCCACGTAAAAGTAACTCCATCTCGACAAATAACGACACCCCAGTTTGAAAGGTATATTATTTGTGTGCTGGTGTTACCAAATGGAAGTACTAAAATGGCTGAAGTATGTCGAATGTACAACCGTCTGTTATCAACACAAGGACGACAGGGTATTCCCTTATAGTAGTAAACCAAGAATCCATTTTTTTTAAATGCAGTTAAGCCCCCCCCCCCTTATTATATAATCTGTTACTCTAATGAACTTTAAAAAAAAAAACCAAAAAAAACGAAGAATTAATTTATCAAATTAAAAATGAATTTATAAGATTAAAATTGAATTTATAAGATTAAAATTGAATTTATAAGATTAAAATTGAATTTATAAGATTAACATTGATTAAAATTGAATTTATAAGATTAAAATTGAATTTATAAGATTAAAAATGAATTTATAAGATTAAAATTGAATTTATAAAATTGTAAATGAATGTCATTATAAAATTGAAAATGAATTTATAAAATTAAAAACGAATTTATAAAAATTAAAAATGAATTTATAAAATTAAAAAATGAATTTATAAAATTAAAAATGTAATTATAAAATTAAAAATGAATTTATAAAATTAAAAATGAATTTATAAAATTATAAAATGAATTTATAAAATTTATAAAATGAATTTATAAAATTTATAAAATTAAAAATGAATTTATAAAATTAAAAATGAATTTATAAAATTAAAAATGAATTTATAAACTTAAAAATGAATTTATAAAATTAAAAATGAATTTATAAAATTAAAAATGAATTTATAAAATCAAAAATGAATTTATAAAGTTAAAAATGAATTTATAAAATTAAAAAGTTATTCTACAAATTTAATTTATTTCTTTTTTTTTAAAATTGAAGATTATTTTCCAAAATTAAAAATTATTTTCCAAAATTAAAAATTATTTTCCAAAATTAAATTTTTTTTCCAAAATTAAAAATTATTTTCCAAAATTAAAAATTATTTTCCAAAATTTCGATTTCCATACTCCCCTGGCAATACAATCTTTTGTTCTTCAAGTGCTGACAGAATATGTTTTTCACTGTCAGAGCATCTAAAATATGGAATAATCTCCTAGATACACACTTAGTCTTCGTTGTGTCATTAGTAACAATAAACAAATTGGGGGGGGGGGACAAGAAAACTAACAAAATTCATACTTTCAAATGAAATCTTTATTATACACATTACGGTATCAGAAATTTAAAATCGAAAAGATTATGTCGTATATATATATAAAAACAACATATTAACCATGCCAGTATGACAAAATGTGTTTTGTTTTCAATACGTTTTAGGTATGCCACTCTAGAATTTCGTTGGATTTCGTAATGGGGTTTTATTATCTTTCGATGACTTGTTGTCGCAGAATCTCCATTTTAAGTTTATGTTCATTCACGATAGCATTGATCTTAGCATTTAACAATGCCAGTCTTAAATCATGCGCAGATGTCCTATTATTTACACTGAATGGTTCGGAAATGATGTCGAGTGGATGCTGACTGATTACATTCGGATCTACATAACCACCGTGGCGACCGCCACAGTATTCAGTATTATCTGAAAAAAGAAAATATCCAAATAGTTTAGTCTAACAAAGACATATCAATATTTTAATTATGTGAATAATTTATGTTGTTGCAATGTATCTAAATCTTTCAAGCACAAAACAACGTATCCACCGATGCATCTAATGTGTCGTTTTAACATAGTATAGTGTTTTAAGTGGCTTTTAATTACTTACCAAACGAAGCCCCATTTTTTACGCTTTCACCCGGCCTTTTCTTTGACGTTCTCGTTAGCTTCATTTCGTTTCTTTTAAGATGACGCCAGTAATTCTTTAATTGAGTCGAACTTCTAACAGGGAAATTTGGCTGTGCACAGAAACGTTTTTCAATTTCTTTCCAAGTCTGTTCTTTGAGAGAAACCGATTCTATATCCCTTCGCTTATTATCAATTATATTTAGGAATTCTTTTACCACTGTCAATAGGAATTGTTTCTCGAAATCTGTCATTGAAGGTGAGCGACTTTTTGGGGTATCCATCACGTACAAATTATGTCTGTTGTACTGAGAAAACTTATCACAACTCTACTTTATAAATAATCACAATAATAGAAGCATTGCAAAAGAAATTGGCCAGAGTATAGTACAAACGGTAGTTGTGTACAATATACACAAGATCTGCTACGTCACACAACGTCTTTCAATGCGACTTTTCCGACAACGATACCATTTCGTCCACGCCGTCAGTTATTTCGCTAGGACAAATTTTGTGGTAATTCACTGTTTAAACAAATAAGCTTCGAAATCAGGTGTTTTGGCTGACGTGTTGTCTATATCCCACTGTTTGACTTTATCTTCTTTGCAATTCCACTCTGTCAGGAATAAATATAGGATCTACCCATACTATCAATATAGCTAAAGTCGGCTTTCTTAGCAGCGTCAATACATTCGGCTTTACACTTGTACAACACACGGGAATGTGCCAACTGGATGACTTTTCCATCTAGTATTCCTTTGTATTCCCATCGGTAACCACCACCCAAAGACCCTTTAATCATTCTCATATAGGGGCAGTTTGGTTTATATTTAGCATGTTCGTGGAATGGATCGTCGAATGGCTTCCAATCCTTCAATATCAATTTACAACTGAAACACTGCACACGACCATTATCCCCGAAATAAACAAATCCGGATTCGCTTAACTTGTAAGCTGATGGATGAACATGGGTCCATTGGTTGTCAAACGTGGCTAGACGATTATTATACTCAATGTACTCAGACATGACCGTCTAGTAAAGATGCTTGGTGTGGTGTGTGGGGTGTGTGGATGTGTGTATGGTGTATACCGGGGCCAAACATCTGAAGGTACAATTACCACAAAATTTGTCCTAGCGAAATACCTGATGGGTGTGTATATGGTGTATATTGGGGCCAAACATCTGAAGATACAATTACCACAAAATTTGTCCTAGCCAAAATAACTGACGCCAAAATAACTGACTGCGTGGACGAAATGGTATCGTTGTCGGAAAAGTCGCATTGAAAGACGTTGTGTGACGTAGCAGATCTTGTGTTTTTTGTACACAACTACCGTTTGTACTATACTCTGGCCAATTTCTTTTGCAATGCTTCTATTATTGTATTATTGTGATTATTTATAAAGTAGAGTTGTGATAAGTTTTCTCAGTACAACAGACATAATAATCGGTTTCTCTCAAAGAACAGACTTGGAAAGAAATTGAAAAACGTTTCTGTGCACAGCCAAATTTCCCAGTTAGAAGTTCGACTCAATTAAAGAATTACTGGCGTCATCTTAAAAGAAACGAAATGAAGCTAACGAGAACGTCAAAGAAAAGGCCGGGTGAAAGCGTAAAAAATGGGGCTTCGTTTGGTAAGTAATTAAAAGCCACTTAAAACACTATACTATGTTAAAACGACACATTAGATGCATCGGTGGATACGTTGTTTTGTGCTTGAAAGATTTAGATACATTGCAACAACACAAATTATTCACATAATTAAAATATTGATATGTCTTTGTTAGACTAAACTATTTGGATATTTTCTTTTTTCAGATAATACTGAATACTGTGGCGGTCGCCACGGTGGTTATGTAGATCCGAATGTAATCAGTCAGCATCCACTCGACATCATTTCCGAACCATTCAGTGTAAATAATAGGACATCTGCGCATGATTTAAGACTGGCATTGTTAAATGCTAAGATCAATGCTATCGTGAATGAACATAAACTTAAAATGGAGATTCTGCGACAACAAGTCATCGAAAGATAATAAAACCCCATTACGAAATCCAACGAAATTCTAGAGTGGCATACCTAAAACGTATTGAAAACAAAACACATTTTGTCATACTGGCATGGTTAATATGTTGTTTTTATATATATATACGACATAATCTTTTCGATTTTAAATTTCTGATACCGTAATGTGTATAATAAAGATTTCATTTGAAAGTATGAATTTTGTTAGTTTTCTTGTCCCCCCCCCCCCAATTTGTTTATTGTTACTAATGACACAACGAAGACTAAGTGTGTATCTAGAAGATTATTCCATATTTTAGATGCTCTGACAGTGAAAAACATATTCTGTCAGCACTTGAAGAACAAAAGATTGTATTGCCAGGGGAGTATGGAAATCGAAATTTTGGAAAATAATTTTTAATTTTGGAAAATAATTTTTAATTTTGGAAAATAATTTTTAATTTTGGAAAATAATCTTCAATTTAAAAAAAAAGAAATAAATTAAATTTGTAGAATAACTTTTTAATTTTATAAATTCATTTTTAACTTTATAAATTCATTTTTAACTTTATAAATTCATTTTTGATTTTATAAATTCATTTTTAATTTTATAAATTCATTTTTAAGTTTATAAATTCATTTTTAATTTTATAAATTCATTTTTAATTTTATAAATTCATTTTTAATTTTATAAATTTTATAAATTCATTTTATAAATTTTATAAATTCATTTTATAATTTTATAAATTCATTTTTAATTTTATAAATTCATTTTTAATTTTATAATTTCATTTTTAATTTTATAAATTCATTTTTTAATTTTATAAATTCATTTTTAATTTTTATAAATTCGTTTTTAATTTTATAAATTCATTTTCAATTTTATAATGACATTCATTTACAATTTTATAAATTCAATTTTAATCTTATAAATTCAATTTTAATCTTATAAATTCAATTTTAATCTTATAAATTCAATTTTAATCTTATAAATTAATTCTTCGTTTTTTTTGGGTTTTTTTTTAAAGTTCATTAGAGTAACAGATTATATAATAAGGGGGGGGGGGGGGCTTAACTGCATTTTAAAAAAATGGATGCTTGGTTTACTACTATAAGGGAATACCCTGTCGTCCTTGTGTTGATAACAGACGGTTGTACATTCGACATACTTCAGCCATTTTAGTACTTCCATTTGATATCACCAGCACACAAATAATATACCTTTCAAACTGGGGTGTCGTTATTTGTCGAGATGGAGTTACTTTTACGTGGATAAACTTAACTGGACTTCGTCGTTCTGCAAAACTGCAGATATTTTAGTCTGAAGAGGCATTTTTCCCTATCTGAACATATGGTCATTCTGTTGCATGAGGCTATATTTATTATTAGATGATTATTTACGCACATAGGGATGTTCAAGACAATATGAGCTATATGGTTTGGAATAAGCTACCCCTTTTATTCACAACTTATATGAAACGGGTTAAACATTATTTGGAAATTTCCCCTTCACCGACATTCATTGACAAATCTTTCCCTGTCTAATACCTTATACAATTACTTCCATTCCCCATAACGCGATACAGTTGATTTCCGGCTTTAAATTGAGGTTTCTAGATGGTTTATTATGAAACTTAAAAAATAGGCATGTATCATTTTCCTCGCCGCATTCACGACATATGGAATATGCACCTCGAACATTTGAACTTTAATAAAAGTGCAATTATCGAAATGTATATATATGCCGTTACATTGTCTAGTACAAAACATATTTAAAATTCACGGTTCAAGTCAAACAACTCGGAAAATCACCGTTACAATTGATTAAACACTGAAGAGATTATTTAACAAACCATACTTCACGAGTAAATATCTTTCGAAAATAACTAAACATCATTATAAATCTATGTCAATAATGTTTAATCTCTCCAATGAAATGTTTTTATACTTGTTCGAAATAAAACAGTGGTATATACTTATGTGCATCTTACAGAGTTCCCTATAAACTGCAGATATTTTATTATATCAGTCTGAACAGAGATTTTTCAGTCTGGACATATATATCATATAGTAATATTTTTGTCCAGTCACGTATTTTATATTCTCTGTGATTTTTAATGAATGCTTATCGTATCTATGCACAGATTGGTAAGATTTTTCCATGAACGTATGAATTTTGAAGCGTTGTTTTTTGTTTATTCACTTACATTCATGGTTATTATATCGTGGAAACGCTATGCTTTATCCCTGTTATGTATATTTCCGGTAGATTATTATAAAATTGTAAAATTTCATATAAAAAACAAACTTGTAACTTTTATCTTTAACTTAAAGATACAGTATGTAAGATTTCGATAAAGAGCTAGCCATTCTTGCTATAATAGTTCGACAATAGATAATGTAAAGTGAATAATTTGAAATTTTCATTCCAATTACTCTATTGCGAGAGAAGATATTAGCCTTTGAAGGTTTGACAAGACGTTGCAATAATTGCAGCCATTAAAATATGGCTGAACCGTTCTAATCTATTTAATATCTGAGAAATCCGAAGCAATCGAGAGTTGATTATGGCCTTGGATCAGTTAATTATGGCCTTGGATCAGTTAATTAATGTCTAATTAATAATTTAGAAAACATTTCAGGCCTAAAGGTAGTCCTGCAATAGGGAAATATAGCCCTTGCATAATGTATGTTTAATGTCTACATCTACCATTTATGGAATATAAATTTGGTATTTCTATGTGATCAACATCTTTTTTCCATATCTTTAAAAAAAATGTTGGTATTTCTATGTGATCAATATCTTTTTTTCCATATCTACAAAAATTATTGTTAAAGTAGCTAAGTCTCTAACTCAATATCATCAAAATCTTCGACATTGAAAACACGAATTATTTGTCAATTCAAATCAGCATTGGTCTTGTGATCTTACAAGGAATAGATGAGCTTCTGATATCCAATATTCAAGACAAAAGAAACATTTTACCATTGGTACACGAATCGTGAACCATAATGCGTTTCAGTGCCATTTGGCACAAGGGGCTCGAAGACCGAGGCTAGACATATTCCACAAGTCATGTCAATGCTATATTCTTATATGGAGAGCATGCGCAATAAATACCATCGGTTTAGACTGGAATAACCAGACGCTAAAGATCGTCATTCAATTGAGACTTTGGCGCATTTCGCCGAACATAACTGATTAGAAATTACGGTAAAAACAGAAACGATTGAATGTAAATCAGTTTATATACATTCACATTACCTTATTATATTCGTTGCGACCCATTTCTGTCAATTTCTAGGTCCCATAAATATTAGCGATTTAGCTCCTTTAACGTTTTTTATAGTTACTGCTGATGTATTAATGTTATAGTAAATCAATGTCCGAATATAGGTATTTCTTATTGCAACAAATTTCCCCCGTTTGATAAGCTAATCACAATTGACGTTTGGTGTGTGATTGATGCAATTTGAGAAAATTATTGATAAAACTGCTATTTACTCTCAAAAATGACCAAGTATGAAATACAATAAAATGAACACATTGCATGTATAAACTAGGATGATAATTAACAATTAATTTATTTCTTACAGGTTTTGGGAATATACGGTAACTCGAATGATTTAGTATTTTAGATAATATTATTCACGGGGATATTAACGCTCAGAAATTTGCTTCCTAAACATTTTTTTGTGTGGTTTTTATTTTCAAAATAATGGAATATTGAATGATTAAGTATTTTAGATAATATTTTTTCACGGGGATGCTTTAAAAAGCTCAAAATGAATATTACTCGAAACTAAACGATATAATAGTTGCACACGCGGCTATATCATTTACTTGTGATATTTCAAGAATATAATAAGTTACGTGTTTCGGGCTGAAAAGGGAGTTCAAATAGATAATGAAAATACATAAAGACAAAAAAACCAATGACATGAGTAACGGAGCGTTCTAATCACCAATTTTTGAGGAGAGAAAAGAGTAAGGTTGGTATGCATATTTTTAAAAATAAACGACCGTGGAAGAAATATATACATTTTGTAATAAACAACATGAAAAGGTATTATTCGTGCTGGTTGTCTGTCTTTTCACCATTACATGTGTACTGGAGCGTTCTAATCATCATTTTTGAGATAAAGGGGAGTAAGATTGGTATGCATAATTTAAAAAAACGACCGTAGGGGGGAATATATACATTTTATAATACAACAACATAAAAAGATATTATTCGTGTTGATGTTAAAGTCTGTGATGGGGTGTTGGGTGTTTGTGGGTGTGTGCGCATGTGAGGGGCGGGACCGGGGGGGGGGGGGCAAATTTAAATGACATCTACTAGTTTTCAAAGGTTCCACAATTTGAAAATTTGTTTTGTCTAAAAATATTTTGGCAAGAAGTATAAAATATTCCCCAAAATAAAAAAAAAAGTATGAATTCTTTCTTTGAAACAAGTCCAAATAAATAAATGATTTCGACAATTGCAAACGAGAATTTCTAAATTCGCCATTTCGTAAAACAGGGTTAGTTTATGGGGCCACCGTCTCATTTTAATCGAAGTGAACCCTGATGCAATTTACGATAGGTTATAAGATGTAGCTCTCACTAATCCAGTGATTGTTCTAAGGACATCAAGATTTACGTTTTCAAGGTACAGGACCTTGGTTTTTGTAGTACACTCATTTCGGAGTACGTCCACGTAGTCGAATAATAGGCGACATTAAAGCCCAGTATATTGATTCTAGATATTTTAAACTTCTGACACAAATCAGTCCTTTTATAACGGAATAATTAGTATGAACAGCCCCATTACAATTACTAATTCTTAAGTTCTTTGCTATCAGTTAACCCAGCTCCAGCACAGCAAAGAGTGTTAAGAGTGCGGTTTAATTTTCTTGAGAAGGTAATAGTCCTTGTTTTGTGTGGATTAAAGTTGATTTTTCAACTTTTTGATTTTTTTTTGGGGGGGGAGGGGGGAGGTAATGTAATTGCAGTATGTAAAGATGCGTTCAAGAGATTTCAATATTCAAAGAACAAAAACTACCCAGTGAAGATTCTTTTATTTTGATTTTGAATGAAAAGTCGTTATACTCTTCAAAAAAGTAGGGGATATTGCAATGAAAATATCTATGCAGTTGTGATATGATAAATAGTCATGGACATGCTCTAAGAGTATGTTCACAGATGAAGAACTTATCACCCCAACAGAACCACGGGGGGGGGGGGGGTTCATTGTCAAATTTGACACTTCAAGGATGGGTTGATGAAAACTCTCGCCTACTGGCTTATCCTATCCATGTTTGCTTTCCTGTCGATTCTTGCATAAGATTTCCTGTTTATGGTATCTTTACTTTAGTGTACTACGTTTAATTTGATCGGGAGACGTGTTCGTCGGCGTCAACGTCAACCAACAACACGGCAAGAATTGGCCGTGGCACTGCAAGATGAGTGGGTCAGATTCCCCAAATCGTGATTGGACGGTTCATTAGGAGCATGCCACGACGAATTGCTGAATGTCTGAGGATTGGTGGAGCAATTACTCGTTATTAAGACAAAAATCAAAAATGTAAGGTTTCTCTAATTGGCAACTGCGACGATTAGTGTTGGCTGCGCGAGTAACGTGAAAGGTAGCACGCTGTGATTGTCTAAATCTCCCAGCGTTAGTGAGCGTTTGGCGCGTACCTTTATCAAGTTGATAAAGACTCTAAGATAAAAACCCACGGAAAAAGACTTGGGAATGTAAAATTCGAAAATTTATTGGGCTTCGATATTTATGATAAATAATCAGTGATTAAAGACAACATCGTCTTGTATGTGCAATGAATTCTCGGTAATCTAGGGTTACCGCTTATTTTATTGCTCAAATTGAATATGCGGCAGTTTTCGGTTTCATCTCTCTATTTCACCATTTATTTATTGATAATGGTTTAGTATATTTAGATTTAACTTGTGTTGAGTAAATGGTCTTTGCTTTTAATCTGATTCCGTCTTTTTATACATAAAAATTGAGATATATGTATATGTTAAATTTAACGTTAAATTTTGGTTGATATTGCCAGAAAACATTTATAATATACAGATAATACTATTATCTGTGTAAATTCATGGTTGATTGCATCCATTGAGAAGTGTATGTTCACTTTGCCGTTACAACTATTCACAAGGGGGTCAGTCACGCGTGCCATATCGTCTGCTATCAAGGAGCCTCTATGTGGTTAAGTCGCCGGTTCGCTAGCCTGCAGGTCGCACGTTTAATCCCTGCATTGGCCGAATAACTTCGTCGCGATTGTCTGGCCTCGCCCTCGTCCGGCTACGACGAAAAACTGAGGCCCGTGTATTTATTGGCGTACAAACCCTCCTTTCCGAAGCCTATCACATCCAGGGGGGTCGTTCCTCGCAAGTAAAATTATCTCAGGTGTGTGTATGTGTGTGGGGGGCTGGTAACTGAGTGGAAGGGGGAGGGGGTAACCAACCCCGGATAAACAATCGCAATCCAATCAATGGTCGATCTTAACATTAGCCCTTAACGCTAGACCACGCACGACCTGACCTCAGCACGAACCCCGACGCGGCTGTCTATAAAGGGGCAACCCCACCCCACTCACCCCCCCCCCCCCCCAATAATCAATGCGTGACCTCCAGCTAACCTCGTAACAGAAGTCAAATGAGGTCAAAGGATAAACAAGAGTTCATTATAACAATACCTATTCATCTATATTCATATCCCCATTGTTCGGATAACAATACCCTATTCAATCTATTGAATAGAACAAAGGCGTCAACTCTCCTTGGTAAAAATATGGCCAGAAGGCCACAGATACTACTAGTGGAACTTTGATCTTTCAGGGTAAGTAAATATAGATGTGCCAGAAAATAACTTGAAAGGTTGTACGCTATTAAACTCTATTAATTGATTGGGAGGGAGGGTGGGGTCTTAAATGACAAAATACAAGTCATACTACGACATTCCAGATATCACACAGAATACCACTGACACGTAGTTTCATTTACCTTTTCAGAAATGTAAATTATATTCTGGTACATTTAAATTTACATACACTGTAAAAAAAAGTATTACAGTTCGGTAACGCTAAATACTATTAAGTTAGTGGGGGGGGGGCAGTTGGGTGACACTAAATACTATTAAGTTAGTCGGGGAGGAGGATTTAAAAAATAAAATACGGGTTATCGTGTATTGCATGAGCGGTAAGAATTTATTTCTTTATCCCTCTTTCAATATATTACTTATTCCCTGGAACTTTCATGATTACACGAAATATGTCGCTAATTTCTGAAAATAGACTACTTTCAATTTATTTTCTTTCTCGAAGGCCCGGCCCGATTTGCCATACTACGCACGTGGTTTCACTAGAGTTGCGGTCATTGAGCGATTTTTCTTATTTCATATTTTCTTGCTCGATTCTGCTTTATTATATGGTGACTTATATTTTTTATATGCAAGTTTGATTTCCGCTCATAATATTCCGGTTCGATGGATTTCGAAAAATGTTTTTGGAGAAATGTTATTGAAGACATGTTTTTGGAGAAATGTTTTGTAAGATTTGTATTTGGAGATTTGTATTTAGAAATTTGTTGTTCGAGATTTGTTTTTCTTTGTATTTCTCTGATGAAATGTAAATGTGGGCTAATTTTTGATTTTCTAAAATAAATTTTATCTTTATATTGAAATACAATTAAAATGTTTTTTTACAAATCTGATATGACAAATGTCTGATTTGTAAAACAAATGTTGACTTTGAGATACAAATGTTAATTTTAGTATACAAATGTCGAAATACGACAACAAATGAAGAAAAAGGAATCAAGGACTATGAATTATTATCTAAGAATTAAGGGCACTGAATAAAGAGCTGTTTTGTCTTCCATATTATCTCACTGAAAGGTTCCTGGGTTAGTAATCACGCACATATTGATAACTAAACTAGTTGACACATCTCACCCACAAATAAAATTTTCATTTTTCAGTAATCCTTCAAGAGTTATTTGTAATTTATAGATGCAAATAACTGATAAATTTTGTATTTTTGTTTACAATAAGCTTCTATATTGTTAGATATAATTATACTGTTAGCTGTATTAGAACGTGTAGCGCCTTTGTTTTTGTTTTCGTTTTAAATAACATTTGAAACTTTGACTTTACCTAATAGATAATGATTTATTAAATATATAAAACTTACCCAATACAAAATATACATAACTGAATATAAGCAGACAGATTAATACTCTATCTATAGTCAACATTTTATTCATCAACATTGTACCATCTATAATAATATTGTTCTTGTCGACCAATTCTCCTCTACTATGGCCGAAACCTAATAGATAATGATTTATTATATATATACAACTATAATAATGTTGTCTGTATCAAGGTCAACAGGACGTCAACAGGATGTTATAGTGTTGGTGTCTACATATGTGTAAAGAAAGTTCTCACGAAGACCGCGTGTTAGATAAAAAAAATCCCCTGCTCTGGGTGTAACCTTTCCGGTGTCAAGGCCACAACTTTGGTGGTGCTTGACAATTCCAGAGATAAGAAATACGTATAGTATAACGAGTGCAAAACAATAGAAGATTTTCACGCACCATCGGCACAGTATAGCCATTTTTATACGCCCACATAGAAATGTGGACGTATATTGCCGTCGCCCCCGTCCGTACGTACGTCCGTCCGTCGTCCACACATTCTTGTGAACGCTTCAACGCCAAACGTTATCATCCAATTGTTTTAAAATTGATATATGTTGTTTACATTAGTGAGACGAAGAAGCCTATTTGATTTCAATAATTCCCGTTTATAACGTCTAGAGTTATGGCCCTTGTTTCACTTTGTTGAACCTTGTGAATGCTCTAATGCCAAAAGTTAACATCCGATCTTTGTGAAATTTATATGCAATATTTAAATTAGGGAAACGAAGAATTTCAGCAATTTCCGTTTATTACTTCTAGAGTTATGGCCCTTGTTTCACTTTATTTAACCTTGTGAAAGCTCTAACCCCAAAAGTTATCATCCTATCTTTCTGAAATTTATATGCATTATTTATATTAGTGAAATGAAAAATATCAGTACCCCGGACTTTTATACAAGCTTTTCGACTGAGTACACCCTGGTTTCCATAACAACCTACAAGAGAATGTTAGTCAGCTTTAAGCCGTGTCCAAACGTTTCTACCCAACCAATTTTGTTTTGTAACATTGTCTCTTATTTTTATTTTATTTTTTATTTTGCGACAATGCACGTGCTCTAATATCTTTTCATTTACAATTGATAAAAAACTTACTGCGTGGTGTGTTTACAACAAATGTAATGGGTTCACGAATATAGGTGACAAAATGAACGTAAAAGACTGTGTATGCTCTCATCAGTTACACCAACGATTATTTCTCACGGACAATATATAAATTGTAGTTGGGGTTGCCTAGTGGCCTGAATATCGCGCTTCGAGCTATGCCGGTATGTAACTTGGAGATTGGGGTGGCTTCTCAACCTCGTCGGTTTTCTCCGACAGGGAAGAAACTTGCGCGTGCACTGAGCATAGTAAAATAAGGGAACTCGTCTGCGATATCACTCTCTGTGGACACGGACGTTAAACATTTTTAGAAGAAGAAGAAGAAGGAAGAAGAAATCTTGTGGTTGGTAGCGAACACAAAGCCAACCAAACAACCATTTTGTCGTGTACATAGGCCTTAACAACCAACATCTTGTCAAGTTATATGTACTACACGGTGTTTTTAGTTTTCAAGCCGAAATATCAGATTACAGCAACATGAACAACTACTTTTTGTTTAACATATAGATGAACGAGACGTTAACGAGTACGTTCTTACTGAATATTCTTTAATAAATATTAACCTAGATTACTATTGGTGTATAATATATAATGTAATGGTGTTTTGGTATATGATATAATTACAATAAATATTAACCTAGATTGAAATGAAATGAAATGGGGTTTAACGTCCTACTGTTCTGCTCCGAACTGGGCTAATGAAGACGGGTATACGCCATACAGTGTGCTATGAGGGAAATTTTGCCCGGACAGCAGCACTACGGCCTACTCTTATATCGAATTCCAACTGTCAAGGGATCTTTTACGTCAACGCCAATGTGTACACGGGACCTCGGTTTTTCGTCCCATCCGAACGACTAGACAGCCGTCCATGTCAGGCCCTCCGCCCTGCATCACTGACAAGGGGGAACCGCGCCGGAAAATCTGGATGAACTTTCTCGGCCAATGCAGGGATCGAACACCCGACCTCCAGGCTAGCGAGCCAGCGCCTTACCCACTTAGATACGTGATCCCCATTAACCCAGATTACTATTGGTGAATAATATATATATAGCAATGTCGGCAATGGTTGGCAATATCACGCTCGTCCTTGCTGCGTCTATTATAAACAAACGTGGTACGCGTTGCCCTAATCCTGAACTTTGACTTGGAAAAAGCAGCTACAGGGTCCTTGTTTGCTGTCTTTTTGGGTCAAATTCCGGAACCAGAAGTGCGATAGGTCTGAAACTGGAGGACGTGGCCCAGAACGGTCCTACAAACTGAGCCGTATAGTTCAAAGCCCCCAACCTCGTTCCCTTGCGGCTCCAGAGCCCCCAATGGTCCTATTTTAATCAGAATTATACGAATTATGTAAATTCTGTACATGCTATGTATAGAAGATAGTATTCATCACATGTGATGTCTGTACAGACATGTCCATTGTAATTCTATACGATTATGTGGTAAGATAATTATGATCCATGTGTCAATCCATAATGTTAGTACATTCCAGAATGATGACTCACATGTCACACTTTCAATCATAATTATGATCCATGTGTTATTCCATAATGTTAATATATTCCAGAATGATGACTCACATGTCACGCTTTCAATCATTCATTCCATAATGTTAGTACATTCCAGAATGATGACTCATATGTCATACATCCACTCATAGTGAATATCAAGATGGTCGTAATATTTGTTTGTTCTTTTAAGAGAACTCTTTGTAAATCTTATTCTGCTAATAAATACATTAAGGCTACACAAATAAAATGTTGTGGTTTTCAGACAGTCCTTTTTTTTAAAAAAATGACGCGGGAAGGAGTTTTTTTGTTTTTTTGTTTTGTCAAAATCTAGTTGGTTTTTCATTTTAAGAAATACACCAAATTATTATAAATTTAATATTTATTGAACTCGTAGTAAGAAAAATAAACAATTAGTAAGAATTTGAAATAACGACCGAATAATTCTGTGACTTCATGTAGATTAACTCCATGCAAAATGTTTTCAAATCCGCCTATTTTTATTCAGGTGAGGTTTTCCATTATTGACAAATTGAAGCATATTGTATGAAAATGATTGAGCATTTTACATGATAACAAAATAGCTAAATAGCTAACATTAACATGCTACCATATAGATAAACAAAATAGCTAACATACTACAATATCACTATCACATGGGTTTCCAGATTAATGTACTACCTCAAAGAACTGTAATAACAAATTTGTATGTAACTATCGGCGGCGTATAAAATATATTTGAATGAGTCCGAAATGTACCGTAGGCTCAATTATCAAATATACATCCTTGACAATCATTAATGATTCTGGATAATCATACATTCGAACACATGATGAATAAATCTAGTGCCTTGAAACATGATGTTTATGAGAAGTCATTTAGCCCAATAGTGATCCTTTGACCAAATACTATCCAACCTCGTGGGTTTTCTCAGGGTCCTCCGGTTTCCTCCCACTGCTAAAGACAGCTACGCACAAGCGAATTATTGAAATTAAATTGAACCATGTGTTAGCCCCGAAATAACCTAGTTTGTGTTGAGTGGACGTTAAATCCATCTCTCTCTGTTCCGGTGTTGTTTCCCCTTGGCAGTCTAGTTATTTGGATGAAACAAAAAACCGAGAACCTGTGTACACACTGACAAGGGAAAACCACGCCGGGAAATCCCAATGAAATTTCTCGGTCAATGCAGGGATCGAACACCCGACCTCCAGGCTAGTGAGTCAGCTTCTTACCCACTTGGCGCTGTGGTTCCACATACCCAATGATATTGCGAGAAGAAATTAGTTTATACCATTCTATAATTCTTGTGCTCTACTAAAAGATCACAAATTAAGGCATATCCATTTAGTAGTGACTATTGTCAACAGATGCCACAATGGCTAGGCAGTCATTATGTAGACTTTTGCTTACCTTTAAGCCTGTCACAGTGCTCAGTTCAGGGTTAATTCGGCAATAATTATTTCCCCTTAAAAGGGATTAAGGACATCTCTAAGCAACATAAATTCATGAGTCTCGCTTTCATTTATTTTGAATTGGTTTTATTAAATTATTTTACAGAGAAGCACAAAGGACGCATTCCCAGTTGAAAATATACAGAAAAGAAATTGAGAAGAAAATTAGTGAAATGAATGAAATGATGATAGCGAAGTTTGGTTGTATTGTTGATTTAGAAAAACTAGAAACTGTTGTTGTTAATCGTGGTATCGAAGAAATGAAGGAAAAATTACGAGAGGCAGAAATCCAATGTTCGGAGGAAGTCAATGAATTATCTGTAAGTGTTTTGAATAAATTAAAATAATACACACACATCCCCCACCCTCCATCCATCAAATTAAGTAAGTCCATTGTTGAAAACCGCCAGCCACTACTTGGTAATCTGTTTATAAAGAGGGGGGAGGGGGGAGGGGGGATGGCCGAATGGTTAACATGTGCAAACTGTATCATAAGGTCTGTCATAGATTCAACTGGTGTGGTTTCGATTCCCCGGTTTTACGTGGGTTTTCTCTGGGTCCTCCGGTTTCCTAGCTCCTGCTGCTAAACACCCCTACGCGCCAAGCGAATTATTGAAATAAAATTGAACCAGGCGATATTCCCGAAAGGACCTTGTTTGTGTTGAGTGAACGTTATACCCCATTTCTCTCTCTCTCTCTGTTTATGGACATGTACTCATATTACACGTTGCTTAGTAACCATGCTCAGAGCTAGGTTACTTGCATAAATATCTTGTAACATATGTTTTTAGCATAATGTAATTGAATCTATTTATAGTCAGTCTATTTTCAGCTAATCGTTAGTGAGAAGAAGACTCGTATAACAGAATTAATTAAAGATAATACACATAGATAAGAACAACTGTGTATGTTCTCAACAGAGAAGATAGATTGCCAGCCGACGAAACATACGCCCACAACAGCTACGTCTTCCGGGCAGTCAACAAGGGTTGTCACATACTTTGTCGACAAGATATTTCAAAGTGATCAAGGGCCATAACTCTGGCTGTAATTATCGAATATCGCTGAAAATCAATAGGGTCCTTCGTCTCGGGACCTTAAACACTGTGTGTAAATTTAAAGTCAACCGGATATTCACTTTAGCCTATAGAGCGTTCACAAGAAATTGTGAACGACGGACCGACGGACGGAAGGGGGCGACGACAATATACGACCACATTTCGATGTGGGCGTATAAAAACAGATTTAGACAAACAGTTGATAGATGTGTTATTATTGGCATACAGTTAATTATTTGATTACATATTCCATCCACGACACTGCTGTGTTATCTACATATATTTTATAAATCTACAAAATATTATTTATATTTTAATTGTATATTATATATAATAATTGTTGTTTTATAAAATCATTGT